TAAAAAGCAGATTTAGAGGATTTAATTTAAAAAAAGGATTCCACTCAACTGAATTCAGTAAAGGTAACACTTTAAAGTAAGTTTGTTACCTTTACTGAATTCAGTTGAGTGGAATCCTTTTTTTAAATTAAATCCTCTAAATCTGCTTTTTGAGTGTCGCTTATTGAAACAAAAAATCATCTGTTTTCTTATTTATCTTGTATTTTTTTCTCCCAATCAGCTTTTGAAAACAAGCTATTTTTCTCATCTGTGCCATGACAAGACCTTGTTCTTTGTATCCTCCTCTGAATAATAATAAAACACACAGAAAGGAAAAACATTAAACCTAAAACCAGCGTTGACACGAAGCAGAAATTCATTCAAAACAGTTTACTTCAACTTAAAGACAATATTTTCTTTGTTTTACATTTTTCAAAGTCTTCACTTTGTCCATTTTCATTCTTTTTTTTTCTCCACAGTTGCTGCAGGGAAAATCCATCCCCAAACTGGGCTCTCTGGACCAGATCGAAACAGGAAGTGGAGACGCAGAGGGACGTTCCAGCGGCGACTGCGACGATGAGGACGGCTGTGGAGGTTCAGGCGGAGGGGAGGTCAAGAGGAAATACTTTAAAGTCTCCAAATGTGAGTCTGATTATGTTTCTCTTTTTAAATCAGTTAGTTGGCCTACCTGATAAAAAAATTWAAAAGTTTTAAAACAACAGACTTGTAATGAATTATAGGAGATTTAGTAATCACAAAGTACACTGGATCAAAACAGCTTAGTAATAAAAATCAGAATTATTTGTCTTAATGTGTGATTTTTATAATTCTGCTTTTTATCCATCGTTTAAAGTTGCAGAATTTGAAACAGCGATCTTGTATTTTTTTTTATCAGTGAAGAAAAGCAAAAGGTGCAGTGACATAATATTATATTTTAATAAGACTGGCTCCAGTTGGCGTTTTATGACAGCAGTAATAATAGTCATTAAAGATAATAGTTGCTATGGGGACATTATTGCAATCAAGGCCTGTAACTTCAGAAATTATTGCTCCTCGGTGGTTCAGCAGCCCTCCATGAATCACAGCGGCTGAGCTCTCCTCTTCTTTGTGCTACCTTTCTCCTTCTTCCTTTAGCACATATAGATTTTTCCTTCCTTCTCTCTCTCTCTTTTACTCTCCATCAAACATGCTAACAACCTGATTAATCACCGCTCTCACTTTGCCTATGGCGGCTCCAAGGAAGCGGGGGTCATCCAAACACGTCGGTCTATCCATGAAAATGTTTCCTCTGCGTCTTGTCAGCGCGACTCGAGCCTTCAGCAGCTCAGGCTCAGGAAAGCTGCTTAACAATCGCTCATGTGAGGCTGTCGGGAGCCTCTGACATTTATCACCCATTACAGCTGAGACGCCCTTTTCTTGTCATAGGCCAGATCAACTTGTCTTCTATATTTATGACCCACTATCTGTGCTGACCCCTGTTGAACATCGGTCCCCCWGTGCTTGACCCCCCTTCAAACAAACGCTGAGGATTTCCTTCAGGGAGAGACGTCTCATCAGTCCTGTAACATGAACTGTGAAACTTTTAGTTTTCTTTTTATTGTTGTTGTGTAGATTGTTCACTAATGAAAAGACAATTCATCTGTAAAGGAACGGGGTTATTTGCTTTTTTAGATAATAAAGATTTGGGAGGAGGTTTTTAAATGCTACTTACAAATAAAGTGCCTGTTCTTGAATTCCTAGACACAGTGGGTCTAATGTGGGCAGAAGGGGGGCAGTCAACTACAACCCCAACTCCTATGAAGATGGGTTTGTGTAAGACGTAAATAAAAACAGAATACAATGAGTTTCAAATAATTTTCATCTATATTTAATTAAATGCACTACAAAGACAAGGTATTTAATGTMCAAATGTTTAAGCGCTGTTGTTTTTAAAGGGAGCATCCTCGAAAGGCTCAGTCTTTAAGCAAGGATGAGACGAGGGTCAACCACTTTGTGAACAGCTGTGTGAAGAACAAAGTTCCTCAACAAACAATTATAAGGAACTTTGGGACTTCATCATCATCTGCAGTCCAGAATATCATCCAAAAGATAAATCTGGATGCTTTTTTCAGCAAGACAATGCCAAGCCGCATTTCTAATAAAAGAATYTGGGTACTACGACTGGCCTGCCTGCAGTCCAGACCTGTCTCCCATTGGAAATGTGTGGAGCATTGTAGAGAAAATACACGAGTCGCTACCAAAAAAAAGAAAAAAAAGGTCACACACTCTAATATTTTATTGGACCTCCTTTAGCTTTGATTACATTCTCTGTGGCATTGTTTCAATCAGCTTCCTAGACCTGACCAACTGCAGCAACCCCAGATCACAGCACTGCCCCCACAGGCGTGTACAGTAGGAACTATGATGGGTGCATCCTGAAAGACGTTGGGTCCACTATTGCCCCTTTTCCACCAGTGCCACTTKGTGAAGTGTCGGTACAGTTCGGTATGGTTCCAAGCCATTTCCATTAGGCCAGATCCGTGGAACCGGCACTTTTTTTAGTACCTACTTCATTGTGGTTCCAACCGGCCCCAGCTGACACCAAAATGCAACGTCAGAACACTGTTCGTCACTGATTGGCTAAATTTTTGCAAATGTTTAAAATTTTAAAAGTTATTCATCAAATGTCTTTCCATCTCTCATTTTGCCCATTAATTTTTATTCAAAATACCTAAAAACCACCTCCACCAACCACCCAAAACACACCCATTGGAACCGGACTGGAACAGCAGTGGGAAAACAACCGGTCCGACCCGTACCTACACCGACCGTTCCGACACTACACTAAGTGGCACTAGTGGAAAAGMGGCATATCCGTCCAGTTTTAATAACGTGTTGGACAGTTTTTAACCCAATTTTAGTAGTTTCTGCACTCTCCTTCGATGTTTTCTCTGCTTGATGCCAATGATTTGACCCTTCTCACACAGACTGACATCTTTTCCACGACCACAGGATGTGTCTTTCCACATGGTTGTTTAAGAAATGAGAAGCAACGTATTGCACCAGTTGGGGTTAAATAACTTGTTGCTGAAAGATAATCACTCATGCYGTAATTATCTAATAGGAGGCTCATACCTYTCTGATTAGTTAAATCCAGGTYGCGACTGTACCACAACAGAGAGGCCGGACTGTTGAGCATTTGAAGCTGTTCATCAYGCAAGAATGGGAAAGAATTCCAGCTACAAAGCTTCAACAATCAGTGTCTTCAGTTCCCAAACACGTATTGAGTGTTGTTAACAGGAAAGCTGATGGAACACAGAATTAAACATGACCCTGTCCCAGATGTTTTTGGAATATGTTGAACCTCGCCCCCATCCCTGATCATGAACGACTGAGCCTTTCATGGATTCTCCCTTTATACCGAATCATGACCTGTTTCCATTGAACCTGTTCACTTACTGGTCTGTGAGGATTCCTTGACTTTCCCAGTCAGTTTTTGCCCCTGTCCCAGCTTTTTCTATTCAAAATGAGCAAAAATTTGCCAAAGGCACTAAATTTTAACATTAAATATCTTGTCTTTGTAGTGTGTTCAGTTGGATATAGATTGAAGAGGATGTGAAAATAATCATATTCTTTTTATTTACATTTTACACAACGTACCTTCATTTTGGTTGTAATGTTCTTGGCCTAGAGTTTAGTCATGATTTCTAAGAACTGTTCATGCAAAGAACCGGCAAGCTGGTTTCTGTGTCACAAGCATTTAGAATTCAGTGAAACTGCAACAGGAAATTTGCCTATTTTCTCACAATTTTCAGTCAAGTTTGAGTCTCCAGCAGCTCCAGCTCAGCAAGATCCTACCTTCAGTAATTATGAGGAAAAACCTGAAATACTGTGTGTGAATTCACAGAAAGTAATGCAGGTCAAACCTTATAATAAAAGCTGTTTACCAAAATCTGCAGGCTGTTAATTCACCATATGGAGTTTTCCTGCTGCTGAAACTGAATAAATCAGTTTGAATTACTTTATTATTATTATTATTTTTTGCTCTAAGCTGAAAAAAARCCTGCAGCTGACAGGAGCTAGCGTTGGCACAAATCTGTGTAACAGAAATGCGTTGGAAGGATAGACAGATTTGAGTGTGAAAAGTGACACTGATCATACCTGGTTTCTGTAAATCTCCTTTCTTCCTTGACTACCTTTAACACTTGTCAGCCTGCTGCACACCTCTTTTTTTAAATTCCTTTGTGGGTTTGTTACTAAATATACTAATGATACAATATYAACCTGTGATGCCTCCTTAATAAAAGATGCTTAAAATTAAATGTTGGGGTTTTACGATCCTATTTTGAGATTTAATAAGACACAAAACGGCAACATAGGGTTGTAGAAATGAGCTGACATTTTGCCATTAAATAGCAATTCAACGTAATAAAAATGGCTTTCTGTCACCTTGGAAAATGACGGCTTTCTTCTCTGTTTTTGCTCTATTTCTGGTTCCACCCATCTGTCTGTTTACCTTCTGAGTGCTTCACTTAATCTGTTTTTACGCTGCGTCAGACATCTTGGCACGACTTGAAAAACACGTTCTTGATTGCACGCTCTTAGTCAGGTTTGTGATGGCCAAAGCAGCACCGGCCCCTTCACGTACTTCTGTGTTTTGACTAAAAAGTGGGACACAAAAACGTGYCCTTTGCTTGTAAGCTTGACATAAAAAAGGCCTAATTGTGTGTGACAGAGCTCCCTAAGTTCTGAGCAAAAATATTCTCTGATATGAATCTGTAAACTGTGTGGGGTTTTTCACATTTTATAGTTCTAAAGCAACAGTTTTTAGTATTTTGTGACAGACCTAAAAAGTTTTTCTCAGCTCAATATGGAGAACGCTTCCCAAACAGGAAGTGAAATGTCTGCAAGGATCTGTCCTGTCCTGAGTGTCTGAGAACATCTTTCAGAAGGTAAACGAATAATCTGCCTGGCTGTCAATCATTTCATTTGGTCGCTGTTACTTTTTGCATGAAGACATTTTAATACAGGARTGGCAAAAAGACTATCGGAAATTAAAGGTGTAGAACTGCTAAAAGGTCATATTTTTATTAGGGCTGTGAAATTAATCTACTCAAATCTGATTAATTTTAGTGCTGCATGGGCATAGATTAAAAATTTTAATCGCAATTAAAATTTATAATCACTTTACTC